CATCATAAATTGAATCAGATAATTTAAAAATAGTGACTAGTAATTAATAATAAAATTTCTTAGTAAGAAATACGTTTTAATGGGAGTATTATTTGCAAATTTATTTATATTTCAATTTAAAACCAGAATGACAAACAGGGAAGCTAACTTCGGCAAGTAATGCCTGATTTTATCTGATTCACCGTATTTAATTTTTCCCATTTTTTACGATTGTTTGCATTGCATTATTATTTATTATTATTATTATTTATTAAAATTCTACATTAATATATAATTGCTACGTATAAAATTTGATGAAAATCTGTTGAAAACTGTTAAAGTTATAATTAATTTACAATTTTCCGATCGTTCCTATGGCAGCTATATATATGTATATATATAGTCCACCGATTCGTCAGGATCCGACTTATACGCTAGTAAAATTATATAGAATAATAACGCCATAGTTCTTTCAATAGCTTAAATTTGTTCCAAAACAAATCTCGCTCATCCGTGCATATGATTCCCAACTTGTTCTAACATCCCCGGAACGAAGTGACTTCTTCTGGCCTGGTCTCAGATATGTGTTGTGTTACAAAAGTTGCAAGTCATTGTTTATTAGTGTTCAAAGTTATTTACTGATCATACATACTTATTGGTCATAGATACTTACTGATCATAGTTACTCACTGGTCTTAGGTACTTACTGATCATAGATACTTACTCTTCAGAGATTCTTATTAATCATAGTTAATTACTGGTCATAGATACTTAATATTCAGAGTGTCTTACTGCTCATAGATACTTACTGATCATAGTTAATCACTGATCATAGTTCTATAAATCGTCCGATTGTTCCTATGGTAGCTATATATATGTATATATATAGTCCACCGATTCGCCATGATCCGACTTATATACCAGTAAAATTATATAGAAGAATACTTCCATAGTTTCATTCAAATAGCTTAAATTTTTTCCAAAAAAATCTTGCACATCTGTACATATGATTCCCAACTGGTTCTAACATCCCTGGAACGAAGTGCCTTCTTCTGGCCTGGTCTCAGATATGTGTTGTGTTACAAAAGTTGCAAGTCATTGTTTATTAGTGTTCAAAGTTACTTACTGATCATACATACTTATTGGTCATAGATACTTACTGATCATAGTTACTCACTGGTCTTAGGTACTTACTGATCATAGATACTTACTCTTCAGAGATTCTTATTAATCATAGTTAATTACTGGTCATAGATACTTAATATTCAGAGTTACTTACTGCTCATAGATACTTACTGATCATAGTGAATCACTGATCATAGTTCTATAAATCGTTCGATTGTTCCTATGGTAGCTATATATATGTATATATATAGTCCACCGATTCGCCATGATCCGACTTATATACCAGTAAAATTATATAGAAGAATACTTCCATAGTTTCATTCAAATAGCTTACTTTTGTTCCAAACAAATCTTGCACATCTGTACATATGATTCCCAACTGGTTCTAACATCCCCGGAACGAAGTGCCTTCTTCTGGCCTGGTCTCAGATATGTGTTGTGTTACAAAAGTGGCAAGTCATTGTTTATTAGTGTTCAAAGTTAGTAACTGATCATAGGTACTTACTGTTTAGAGTTACTTACTGATCATGGATACCTACTGGTTTTAGATATTTACTGTTCAGAGTTAATTACTGATCATAGTTACTTAATGGTCATAGTTACTTGCTGTTCATAAGTAATTACTGATCATAGATACTTACTGTACTACTTACTCATAGTTACTTACGCACATCCGTGCATATGATTCCCAACTTGTTCTAACATCCCCGGAACGAAGTGACTTTTTCTGGCCTGGTCTCAGATATGTGTTGTGTTACAAAAGTTGCAAGTCATTGTTTATAAGTGTTCAAAGTTAGTTCATAAATATAGTTTTTTACTGGTCATAGATAGTTACTGTTCAGAGATACTCAATGTTGAGAGTTAATTACTGATTATAGTTAATTACTGATCATAGTTACTTACTGGTCATAGATACTTACTGATCAGAGTTAATTAATGTTGAGAGTTAATTACTGATCATAGTTAAATATTGATTATACTTATTTACTGATCAAGTTACTTACTGGTCAATGATAATTACTTTTAATAGATACTTACTGTTCTGAGTTACTTACTGTTCATAGATACTTACTTCTCAAAGTTACTTATTGGTCACAGATACTTAATGTTGAAAGATACTTACTGATCCTCTATATTTCATAACCGTTGCTCTGGCAGTTAAATTATATATTATTCCGATTTTTATAAACTTCTGACTGAAATTATTATACCCTGGAAGGGTATAAAATTACGAAAAAGGTATGAAAATAATAAATAATAATTACAACTTTTCTAATTTTCTACATATTATTTTCATCTAATTTGAGATATTACCAATTATTTATTTTATTATTCGTTGTTTCTTATTAGTTATTAAATAAATAATAATAATGAATTAAAATTAAAGTTAATATATAAAATTTAAATTGTGAGGCAAGTACATATAATATATATACAGGAAATTTCCCATAAAAGTCGTTGTACTTAAATCTAGGATTTGTCTCGGAACGAATTGCGGATATATTTGTTGTTCAGATTCCAATTTCGATTCCGAAATATTGGAAAACTTGTGTGTAGGTTGAAATTTTCCCTAACTGTCGCCCGTTTTTGGTTTCCTTTTCTTTTCGAGGGAGGGTTGATCTGTTGCCAGGGTGGTGGTTTGCTTTGGAGTAGACCAAGTCTAAGGGTGGCACTGACCCCCGGCGCGTGCCCCAGACGAAAAAGGGGGAACACAAAAAAATATAACAGAAGAAGGGTGTATTTTATGGGATTTTAGACCATTTCCATGGATTCATTACAATTCTTGACTCGGTTCTGCAACACCTGCTAGCCATTAAGGCATACGGTATAGATTTTTGCTCTCCCCCGCAAGTAATATTATCTCTTTGGAAAATTAACTTTCGACCCACAAAATAACACTACCACCGTGCAATTTGCAACTAAATGATGATTTCATGAGGCGCACTCTAAACTGCGCGCCACATCAAGGTGCACTAGATCTAAAAAACAAAATCGAAAACGGACCCAGTTTTCTTTTCTTGTTATTTTTGTTTTATACAAATGTATTCAAATTGGATATTTGCACTTGGAAATGCGGCAAACCGGCTTACAAGTCGGTTTTCCACCGGCACCACCAGGAGGGTGGTGGGGAGAGGAGGTGAGGTTTGCTCTCTGACCCACATTCCGGAATGTCAACTACAATGGCCTCGGAAACTTATTAAAGTTGTTCACTTAATCTCAAGACAGACGAGCGTCGTTAAACGAGCGATTTCCCTATATGGTATGGTAATGGGGGGAATCAGAGTGATCAAAGTCAGATAGAATAATTTAAAAAAAATATTGAGGTAGAAATGAGAGGTAGAACTTTAGGAGTTACAATTTTAAATTGTACAAGATATAGGTTATTTATGAAGGGAATTTTTTCCTATATATATCTCATTTAAATTCATTATATGTGTCTCTTTAAATTTTAAATATTGAAAGAATATGAATTATACATATTTATGCTAAAAAATATTAAAGTAATGCATACTTTCATTTCATTCACCGTTTTGCATTTTCCACTTTTTTAACGATCGTTTGTATGGCAGCTCTATGATATAGTAGTCCGACTTTGATAAAATGTTACACAAAATTCTAGATTAATATATAATTAATGTATATTAAATTTGATGAAAATCTGTTGAAAACTGGAAAAGTTATAATACTTTTTTCTTAAAATTTTCGGATAGTTCCTATGGCAGCAATATATATGTAAATATATAGTCCACCGATTTGCCATGTTTTGACTTATATACTAGTAAAATTATATAGAACAATAACTCCATAGTTTAATTTAAATAGCTTAAATTTATTCCAAAACAAATCTCGCACATCCGTGCATATGATTCCCAACTTGTTCTAACATCCCCGGAACGAAGTGACTTCTTCTGGCCTGGTCTCAGATATGTGTTGTGTTACAAAAGTTGCAAGTCATTGTTTATTAGTGTTCAAAGTTAGGAACTGATCATACATACATACTGTTCAGAGTTAATTACTGATCATAGATACCTACTGGTTTTAGATATTTCCTGTTCAAAGTTAATTACTTATCATAGTTACTTAATGCTCATAGTTACTTGCTGCTCATAGTTACTTGGTGCTCATAGTTAACTACTGATCATAGATACTTACTGTTCAGAGCTACTTACACCTCATAGTTACTTACGCACATCCGTGCATATGATTCCCAACTGGTTCTAACATCCCCGGAACGAAGTGTCTTCTGCCGGCCACGTCTCAGATATGTGTTGTGTTACAAAAGTTGCAAGTCATTGTTTATTAGTGTTCAAAGTTATTTACTGATAATAGGTAATTACTGGTCATAGATACTTAAAGTTGAAAGATACTAAAGTATGAAATGATCTACATACTACCGATAAGTATGAGATTTTACCTTAATTTTCGTATTTCTAAATATATTACGTAAAAACTCGTTAACTTTGTGTTATTTCGTAACGTTTATATATTTATTGTTTATGGAAATATATTTATATATAATAATATTTATTAATATCTTATTAACAATCTTCACAGATTTCCCCGACATACCACCCCGGGCAGCATTATCAATGGTGGGCGGGAACCCGAGGACCAACTCCAACTTTCTTCCACTCCAAGCCCCTCAATCCACCACCCCTCTACACTCCCCCCCAGCCGCTGCTCCGAACCATGTCTGAGACGATACCAGCAGGAGACGCAATCTGTCCAGTAAGCGAAGCCAAGCGCCAGGAAGCCGAGAGCTACATAGACGCGCCGCTAAAAATCATTGAGCCCTTTGAGGAAAACGAAGAAAACAACGATCAGGAGCAGGAGCAGGAGCAGGGTCGAGACAAAGAGACCAAGGAGAAGCACCAAGAAGCGGGTGAGAAGAGCAGCCCCGAGGAGGAGCAAGAGAAGCCATCCGAGGAGCTTCATCCCGCTGAGATCAAGGCCAAGAAATCCGTCAGTTTCAATCCCAACGACGAGAAGATTCGTAAATTCACCACTGGTGAGCCCATCGTTGACCAAAAGAATCCCTTTCGTAATGGTCAGGTGGCCAACGGACGGGAGAAGAAGACACCGCCTCCGGTGCCCGCCAAGCGTTCCACATTGAGTGTCCGGAAGACGGTGACCCAGCAGCTAAGGGAGCGAGAGCGAGAGCGTGAAAAGGAGCGGGAGCAGCAGAAGAACGAGGCCAACTCACGCCGGAGCAGAGCCACCAAGAACTCGGCTCCATCGACGCCCGGCGAGGACTATGTGACCACCGAGGAGGTGCTAAAGCAATCCAAATATGTCAAGACATACATCAAGAATCCCGATGCATATTTTGTCTACGATCCCACGGTGCTGGCGAGGATTAAGTTCGAGGAGCTGCAGGAGATAGCCGGGAAGCTGCCCAAACGTAAGCAGGCAGCCAAGGATCCGCGTGCCGGAACGAAGCAACCACGTGTCAATCACCACAATCAAAACACAAATCCAAATCCTTCCTCGAAGCTTGCCTTCAAGAAGTGCTCCAAACCCAACTATCCAGAGTTGGCCAATCTAAAGATACGCACTGGAATCTCCGAACCGGATACCGAAGGCGCTCTCTTCCTTAACCCCGACGAGGTGACCAAGAACGCGAGGAAGTTCGACGAGCGGGTGAAGAAGCTACAAATCAGTTCGGATGATGATCTGGATGAGATTGACGGGCCGCTGACCAAAAGCGAGTCCAGTGACGAGCTGTCCCACAGTCCAGTGAAGCCGGTGAAGTCAGCAATGAGTGGAGGAGCTACCACTGGTGGTTCCGGTGAGGAGTCACCGCCCTTGGTGGGCACTTTTACCAACACCATTAGTTCTGACGAATTTCAGGCCTATTTGGATCGCAAGGGACTGGCGTTGATGCCGCGACGGGATCTCTCAACGCCCACACTGTCGGCCACGCCCAGGGCTACACCCACAGTCACACCCACATCTACGTCCACCACATCGCCACCTTTGAGGACAGCGGAGGAGAGACGCCAGCAAGTGGCCGAGTCCCTGGCAGCGCTACGTAAGAGTAACACCAAAAAATTGTCGGTTTTGCAGAGGCTTTCCCAGAGTCTATTTCCCGCCCGACGGAAGACCATGCCCAAGCCGGCGGCCACCATGCCACGAACCTTGTACGGTGATCCACCGCCAAAGGAGGAGATACGCCGAAAAGCGGATGCCACGACGCCCACTGAGATGCGTCGAGTGCTTCTAGAGAGTCGACAGAGCCAGAATCAGGTACCAAATGGTCGTCCAGTGCAGGTGCCAGTACCGCGGCGAATAGGGGATTTACAGAATAGAAATCCCACGGTAATAATGCAGAGATCTGCTCCGGAACGTCAGAGTCTTATCCCGCGACGAATTTCTCCTGAGGCTCCACCTGCCAGTCGCTTTGGGCGCTCCAGCTCCATGGATCGCAGTCAGATTCGGCTGCTGGACAGCGTAGGTCGATGGCTGCAGAGCAGCAACAACAACAGCAGCAGCTACAGCAACAGTTACAGCAGCAGTTACAGCAGCAGCAACAGCAGCAGCAACATAAGCAGCAACAGCTGCAGCAACAACAGCAGCAACAACAGCAGCAGCAACAACAGCAGCAACAGCTACAGCAACATAAGCAGCAACAGCTGCAGCAACAACAGCAGCAACAACAGCAACAGCAACAACAGCTACAGCTTCAGCAGCAGCAACAGCAACAGCAGCAGCAGCAGCAGCAGCAACATCAGCAGCAACAACAGCAGCAACAACAACAGCAGCAGCAACATCCCCTAGCAACGCCCATGGCCACCTCAACGCCTGTGCGCGGCCAGAACGAATGGGAGCAGCTGAGGGCCATCAAGGAGGTGACAGACCGACAGCTCTACCACAAGGTGCTCCAACAGCAGCAGCATCCAGTCCAGAAGCTGCAGCGACCCAGAGAGGATATCTACGAGCACCTGCAACCGGTGCAACAGCAGCAGCAGCAACAGTTCCTGCGCGGCTCTCAGCAGCGCAACACCTTCTCCGGCATTAGTGGACGCCACCGTCATGTGATGATACTGGACGGTACGCCCATTGTCCCAATGCAGCAAGTGCAGCAGGTACAGCAGGCACAGCAGGTTCAAGTCCAACCGCCGCGCTGTCAGAGTGTGCTGGACAACATGGTGTCCAGTCCGGGACTACGACGTGGCTACGAGAGCGAGAGCGAAGTGACGCCGGTGGTGATGCGACGCAGGGATCAGGGACAGAGTCAGACACCATCACGTCGCATTGGAGGACTGCTGACGCGCGAGGAGATCCTCGACAAGGTCAAGGAGTTCTGCCGCAAGAGCATCAGTCGAACACCGTTGCCGGCGGCTAAGATGCAAATGCAACCCATCTATGAGCGTCACATGACGCCGCCCAATGCAGATGTCTCGCCGGTTTCCTACGCTTCTGTGGACGATCAGGGGTAAGTAATGCTTGAGATTTGAAAAAGTTCGAATCCCTCCAGTAACAAGATCTTTTCCCTTCCAGTGCCCGACCACAGGTTCCTCTGCGAGTGCAAAGCCTGCCCGTCCAGCAGGTACGCTATCCAACGGCTGACATGACTGGCCCAGCGGCTGGCTCACCCATCTACGCCCATGTCAGCAAACGTACCAGCATGCTGTCCAACGATTCGGATCAGTATCTGTCCAGCCAGCAGTTGGGTATGCTCGGTCGGCCGGTGCTCCTCGACCAGTTCGTGCTGGTGGAGACGGGCGAGGGGCAGGTGCAGGCCGCCCAACTGGTGGACTATCATCATCCCGGCAATCTCTATGTGTCCCAGGGTCAGGGCTATATGATGCAAGACGGTCGGACCACGCCGCTCATCCTAGACCGTTCCGCCCAGCAGGGTAGTCAGATTTACTGGACGCCACAGCATAGACTCCACCAGCAGCAACAACAACAGCAGCAGCAGCAACAACATCGTCTGTTGACAATGCCACGGGCTCCTCGAGGCTTTCAACCAGTGGCGCCTCAAATCAACGTGCCGGCCACCAACTGGAACAAGCAGCAGCAGGCGGCGGTGATGGGTGGAGGACAGCAGAAATTTGTCACGATGGTGCCTTCGCCAAGGAATCACATTCATTCCTTGGCCAAGAATGGTAATGCCTCCGACTGGGAGCTTAGTTCGGAGGCGGGCGAGGTGCGGCGCATTATGGAGAATCACTTGTAAGGTAAGAGTAACAAGGGAAATTATATTTTATTTGATTTCAAATGTAAGTTTATTTAAATTTGAATTTCAAACTACGCGGGTTTCACAGTGAGCGGTCACACTGCTGCTTTTCCATCTCATGTTTTTTTTACCACATATTTGATAGAAGTTTATTGGTTTTCAAACATTTAGTATTTTAGCTGCTAATTTCTTGATATTTTAATTTGTTCTTCATCAAAAGATTAAGTTTTTTATAATTTTGTTTAAGTTCTTGTATATTCAGATGTGACCATCTAGCTAGATGTTTTAACCAATTCAAGTGTGACCAGTAACCGCTGAGTAGAAAATCCTCTCTATATCGAAAGTGCACAAAAGTGCTGTAAACACCCACACAGCCTTACATCGCTTATGTGTGTGTTTGCATTGTTTTCAATTTCAACTTTTAGTTTTTTGCGGCTTAGAGTTCGTAGATAAAGTGCGTCGTAAGTGAGTGCCTCAGTATTAGCGTATATATATACAAAAGCATTTATAAATAAATGTCCAAGTGAAATGTTCGTGGGCCAGTTGAGCAGCCTAGAAAAGAGCAAAACCTTGAACCTATTTTCTGCAAAATTTACCTCTGTGACGTAGGTGTATTTTGTATTGCCCTCTCGCTCACACTGACCAGAACTAACAGCTGTGCGAATGTATGTCGCATTTTCTTCCATCTCCTTTATTCCATGGACATTGCGAACTCTGTAATTGTTGCTAACTCGCTCGCACTTGCACTGGGTCACCGCTCAGAGGGGGCCATAAATACAAACATACATACGTACATATTTACATATGTGATGTTTTGTTCTATAGGTCAGTTTTATTAACATTATTTCACGATTTAATCAGGCATTGCAAATCGGATAATGTTAAATTAAACGGCCTATATAGAGTGTATGTATAGGCCCTGGTAAAATATATATTGTGTGTGTATTGTTAGTTGAGGCCCGGACAAAGCAAAAATAAATGCAACAGTAATCGTGGCTGTGAGTGAGAGCGAGAGGGCATGTCCCATAATAGGCTGTTGCATGCCTCTGCTCGCACATGCAGCGGCTGCATTTAACATAACATAACTAGGCACTTAACAGGACCCTAACATAAGTTAATCGAAATGTAATTAACATTAGTCGAACTGTTAGCCCAAAAGTCCTTGAAATTTAGGTGCCACAGGTGCTTAATGTCCTTGCCGTGAAGGATTTGGAAATAATTAGATGAAAAATAATTAAATTATATTTTCCATCTCCTTGCAGAAGGTAACGCAACGATGGAAATGGAGAGGGAGTTGGAGATGGAGGGCAGCACAGCCGAAGATATTGGAAGAGCCAAGGCCAGAGCCTCATCCGGCGATGAGTCACTTGGGAGCAGCTCCTCATCGTCCTCGGGGCCCAACTCGTGGACCATTCTGCCAGTGGTGAGGGAGAGAGGTGAGGGACTAGAGGAGGAGGAGCTACCAGATCCGGGACGCAGTCCAGCGGATAAGCATGCAAACGACAGGTGAGGCTGCAAGTAAAACCCTAACCAGAGAGACTCACATCCCCACCTTTTCCCCCACTCAGATGCAACAGGCAAGTAACCGATGACTCGTTGGCGGACGATATATCCGACGGAATCTCGATAATCAGCGACTGCGAGAGCACAGACCGCATCTCGCCCAATCTCTTCCTCCGCCAGCCTCTTGTGGACCTGGGTTTCAGCGAGCTGCCCACAGGACCCATTATTCTGGGCTCGTCGTCCAGCACAAGCGGTGTGCAGCAGCTGGAAGAGCGACAGGACTTTACCGACGGCAGTCCAGATGCCCGACAACGGAAGCAGCGAAAGGATCATGAGGAGGTGGCCGAACGTGTGGTGCGCTCTAAGCTGGAGATGAAACTAAGCGACTTTCAGGTGCTGCCACCTTTAGTGCAAAGCGGCTTAACTGCCATCTTCTATGTGGTGGCCACTCTGGCCATTTTGGCCTTTGTGGGCAAGCTGCGTCACCCCGAATGGCAGGTGCTGGGCAATGACAAACCTCTGGCTGATCTGGAGCGTCGTGTGGGAGATCTGGAGCTACAAAACAACCTGCTGCGAGCCGAGATTGACATCATGTCCAAGCAGCTACAGTACCTAGGCGGAGGCGGTGGCGGTGGAGGAGGAGGAGGAGGAGGTCAAGAAGCAGGACAACGTCGAGCGAAGGGAAAGACCTTCAAAGCCTGGCCGGGCAACGGTGACTCTGTGCAGCCCGTGGATATAACCAAAACAGATCTGAAGAAGTCCTTCCAATGCAATGATGGCCAGTTTGTGGAGATTGCCGCCATGTGCTTGGAGAACAAGCCACCGCATGCCGAATCTCTGGCCGATGAGATCGGTGATGCGGTTAACGATGTGTTGCAACAGTCTCGAGCCTTTCACAATTTTGAAAAGGTCACCGAGAAGCTAGGCACTCTTTCCGGCGGTAATGAGGACAATGGTGCTACCCCTCAGACTACGAATTCCAGGCCTGGTGCAGCCCAAAACCGTGAGCAGCCGAGGCGAGAGAATGCCTCCAAAGAACGCTATAAGCCCAAATACAAGCAGGATCACTCCCACGAGAGGAAGAAACAAGGACGCAACAGCAGAAGCCGCGAGGAGGGGCACTCCAACGAGTACAGGAAGTACAACGATCATGGCAGCCGCGAACGCTTCAATAAGAACAATCGAAAGCCCATGGATAACAGTCATGAGGGCTATGACAAGGACAACGACAGCGGCAGTGGCGAGTGGCATGAACGGATGATGCAACATCGGGAGCATGTCCGCCACAAGCAGGCCCAGAAGCGCAACAACAACTGGTACATTGAGCGCGGTGACAGTCGCGAGCAGATGCGTTCCGGGGAAAAGGGACGCTGAATGAGGACGATAACCTGGATAAGGCAGTTGGCTGGGGTCTCATATATACATATTTATATATATATATATATATTCTTTAATCCCAATGTATACTTAAGGACGACGTGTGCGGCAGACGCACACGGAATTGTGTTTGGTTTCGAAAAAAAGGGACCTTGTTTCGGGAATTTGAAGCAAGAGCTTACAAGAAGCATCATGTGCTTAATATATTTATTTACCTACGACCACTTCGGCAATGTCGAAGCATGCATCATAATCCTTTTTGCAATCTATGTATACTACTGTTCCAATAGTCAGTGTTAAATAATAGTATTTATCATATTTGTTAATAGGGCAACATGGTACATATCGCACTCATTTAACTAAAGTGGCACAACCCAAGGCCAAAAACTATATAATAATCAAGATGCATAATGCCTATGAATTTTCTCGTTTGGCATTACACATCTTGTTATTATATGTTTTGGTATTTAACAAGACATACATCCATAATTTTTCTTCCATTTGAGGGGGCTTTTTTTATATCTCCGCTGACATAAATATAATACCCAATACAACTGAATGTTCAAGTGTTTTGCCAGTAAAGATAACTTTATGTGTGCTAAGATATATCAGACTTATTCCCAGTTTTGTGTGTTGTTCAACTTGTGTTAAATGTGTCGACGATGTGTCTGTTTTGTATAATAATAATAATAATAATAATTGGTACCATTTGTGGTACCTTTCCTAAGTTCCAGCTCAACCTAAGAGACAAACCGACCGATTTAGGTGCGGAATCACTCGGCTTGGTACGTCAATATATTGCAAAATCCAATGGAAGAGCCACAGAAATAATTAAGGTTCTAAAATTCCTTTAAAATTATGTTTATAAAGGGACTTTGAAAATAGATTTCTTTCAAGAATTTAACATTTTATAGCACCCTTTTTAGCATTTTTTAAAGGAATTTCAAAACATTGGTGTTTTTGTAGCTCCTCCTTATATTTCCCTTCAACGAGTATATATATCAATGATACGATCCTTTTAGGCAAAAGGTAGCTTTCGCTAAAACTATAATATATATATATATATTTATATATATATACTAGATATTTGTGATACATATAATAATATCTTTTTTTTTTAGATTAGAAAAATAAAAATCACACTAGTCGACAGAAAATTAAATTGTTGCCACATGAATGGATCCTCAGTAATTCAAAAACTAATTTTCTTGGACAACAAAAACAAAACGGGCGAAATTCTTAAGGAAAAATGTTTTTCGAACTACGAGTGTTCCAGTCTTGAGGATTTGTTCTTTTTTATTTTTTTGTCGACTAATGTTATTGTACCATATTAGGTTTTTTTTCCTGGAAAGCCAAATCCAAATACAACCACAGCAAAAAGCAACTATAAATATTTTTGTATGCATGTTCGTTCAATATTTACCAGTACAATTAATGTATATATATTTACATCTGTATAAATATGTACCCAAAAAATGTATTGCAAAGATAAATAAACTTTCCACGAGTCCCAATTGCAGTGACTCTCCAATGGGAGTTTCTCAGTGTGCTTAAAAGAATAAAAATAAAATAAAAACACATCAAGAAAATAAAGATTTTTCTGCAAATTTAAATTTAAATTTAATGTCGAATTATAATTTAATATTTATTTTTCTGTAATAAAATTTATAAAATCCTTTCTTGTGATTAGCTTTAAAGAGAAAGTAAAGAGGTAACTAACTTCGAGAATCGAATTGATTTAAAGGATTAAAATATTCGAATTTTTTGAATCAATATTTATCGATATTTTTAAATGCCAATTTTTCAACAAATCAAAGTTTAAGTTTTTTTAATGTTAACGATGTAACCCCTTATAAAATTTTGAAAATTTTTATACCAAGAGAGATCTAACTTCGGTATGCCGAAGTTTGAATACCCCTGCAGTTGCAATTTAATATTCTAACGGCAGATATATTAAACATTTATATTTAAACATTTATTATTTTAAAACCGCATAAAACTTCTGACTAAAACTATACAATTTTAATTTTTATAATTTAAGCACGTATATTGAAAAGCAAGACAAGGTCAAACCATAGCCTATTTTCTGCTGCTGTTCCTAACTTTTCTTTCTTTTGTTTAGTAATTTAAAATCATTTTCATAATGTAAACCCTTTAGAAAGTCAGTACCATCTTTGTGTTTATTCTTGTTTTCAATATTTTATTATTTAGAAATTATGATTTCAATGGCGAATGGGAATTTATATGCATATTTTTTTTTAATATATATTTTTAAATCAAAAACGTAATTCTCATATTTTGAAGTACATGAAAACATTTTGATAGCCGGCAAAGTTAATGTTTGTGTTCGTTTAATTTACGTGTATATTTAGGATATTCTGTTTTTTATATAATCACCTCCTTAAAGGTCGCTCAAAAGTTATTTTAGCATACAGCTGAGGTCCACTCTAATGTTCTCACACCTGCAAAACCATATAAGCATAACTATGCATATGTGTGAGTGAATTCCTTGCATATACAATGCACTTTCATTTCTCGGCCGAGGTTTAGAAAAAAAAAAAAAAAAACAGATCGGCTCTATGTGTGTAGGGAATATGCATCTGTATTATGTATACGACATGTAGGACTCAAACTGTTCTCAGCTCGCTTTCACTGCTACCCAACACACACACACACAAACACAAACACACACCTTCGTCAGAACATTTGATAAAATGGAAAGCTCCCGTTAAAAAGAGTGCAAGTGCCACAGAGAGCAAGAGAGAGATAAGCGGGAGAGAGGAACTGTGCTTAGAACATTTGACTTCGTGAATGCTTCGTGCGTCGTCCATCGCGTCAGTGTTGCCAGGTTATGTCCACCCGCATTAGCTAAATTCAGAGCCAAAATTAGCTAAATATTACATAAAATATAAAAATATAGATTTTATTTTTTTTAGTTTCTAGTAGTAGCAATTTGTATAAAGCTAAAATATGCCAGATTTGCTCTGAAAATATTCCAATTAAGATATCAATTTTAAAACAAAGCAAACTAAATTTTTTTTAGGAAGCTTACTGTTTCTAGATTGTTTGAATTTTCGGGCTATATAAGCTTAGATAATAATTATCAATAGTAATACAGCTTAGACTGCACAATTGTCTGGTCAATAAAAGGCATTTATAATTGTGAAATTTAATTTTAATGACAGATACCAAAAACGTTGCTATTTTTTTTTTTAGGCCTAATCAAATTAGGATATTTTGGAGCATTTTTAAGGGCACACGTAAAATAAAAAATTTTATTCATTTACATATTTTTTTTATAATTACTTTATCCTAATGTCAATTATTGCTAGAATATGAAAATAAGCTATTTTAAAGTCCATGAGCTTTTCCATTTTCAAATATGCCAGATCTAGCCGTAAATAAGCTGAACTAGCAACGCTGTTCTCAGTTACTACAACGATTTCAAAAACTACGGATGTTTCACACGGCGGATGAGTAACGACGGGCTAGGGGAATTTCAGCAAAATAATAACAAAAATATATATAACAAAAACCCAAGAAATAATTAAATAAAATAAATAAAAATAAAACAAAACCAAACCCAAAACGAACCAAACAAATACGGAACACGGAACAACACAACTAACTAAATAAAAATATTGAATGGCAAATAAGTAAATAGACGACGACACGCACACACATCAAATCGAAAAAAATAAAAATTAAAAAAAAAAACACCACAACCACCCACGAGAACACACGCAGATTTGAGGAGGAAGAAAGCATCGCAATTGTAACAACAACTGAGTCATTATACAACTCGCCAGCGCCAGCCAGTCAAAAGAGAAAATTAAAATAAATAACAAACAGCCAGGACCCCCGCATATGTATAACCAGCGTCTAAAATAAGTTATCATTGCATCGAATCGGCACCGAAATTAACATCAGTGTTCAGCATCAGCAGCAGCAGCAGCAGCAGCAGCAGCAGCAGCATCATCATCATCTGCAGTTACATCGGTATATTTCTGAATATGTCTTTAAATACGATTTAAATATATATTTTCCCGATAACGCAGCCATCCATCCACCTGCATACATACATATGTATGTGTGTCAGTGTGCCTCTGTGTGGGTGTGCAAAAGAAGAAGCGAGAAAGCTGAGAAAGCTCACTAGGGCAGTGGAGCTCGAAAGGGACAGCTGTTTTGCAGCAATGTGGGTGAAGTCCGACCTTAGGGCACATGCACACAGCCCCCCATTAGCAGCTGTGTGTTTGTGTGTGTGTGTGTAACCGTTAGCATCTCTCTTTCAACGCAACGATCTCACAGCTCAGCTGATGGTATTCCGTTACTTGCTAAGCTTCCCTCGGGACTAGTCGTGCTGTGCCCTTCGTGTAACCCTTTTCGTCACAAATAACAGTTACTATTTAGAGAGTGAGTGCATCGAAACGTAGATAAAACTTTAAATCTAATGGAGCAGTGTATTTATTTAGCCATGAAATACATTTCCATAATAATGATGTGCTAAAAAGAATTAAATATTCTTACGAAATGTGGTAAACAAATACAGTGGACACACGATACAACGAGCTTTTGTAGGTGTAAACAAATTATACTGGTTGACAAAATCTGAAAAAAGAGAGGGAGATTTCATTAGAATAGATTTTTTTTTTTTTAGATATTTAGTATTATTTTATATACAAATATTCTTCAAACCATTAAACGTTTTTCTAAAAAGTGATAGCTTGGTAGTGAGGCTTCGAGTTTGAATATTTTCATGCATTGAATACTGTTGAATGTTTTCGAATGATGCATTTCCCCATTTCCCATATATAATATAAGCAAGTGAAACATCGCAATTCGATTTCGATTGTTGCAACATACTGGCGACGAAACCAGGAGGTGAAGGATAGCCACTGCAGCTGTTTTTGCATTTTCTGGCCCGTGCCGAAATCAAATTTGGCATTTCTTTGCGGGCTCTGCAAGCAGTACGTTCGTTCGTTCAAACAATAAGAGAAAAAAACACAAAAAAAACTAAATAGAAAAATAGATATTGCGCTGACACACACCCACACAGATACACAGACTAGTTCGCCGAGAGACGTGTATATATATATTTGTCATTTCAATTTTCGTGTGCTTGTTGTGCTCAGATAAACGAACGAGAATCATGTGCCAAAATTTTGTTGCTCAGTTTTTTTTCTATTATATTTTTTTATTAGTGTGTGATTTGTGACGTAAAATGGCTAGCAATTAAATGGTGTGAACAGCTGATTTTTTGTTTTTGTGACGGAATATGGAATTTCTAATGGCGAAGGAGAACCGTTACCTTTACCATTTGACTTCCGGCAGTGCTTATGTGCTCATGTGTTTGTGTGCTCTACCTTTTAGCAGAACATGAAGAATCCGAAATGGAATATAAATTTGGCAATTACAGTGCAAGACATTGGGGAGGAGGAGAGGAATAAAAAAACGAGGGAGAAAATGTCAATAGCTCATGCATATACACACACAAACATACGCCCGCGCGGTCAGCTGTTTTGTGTTGTTCTTGAGTAAAAGTTGTAGGAAATTCGGGGCTTGAACGCCAAAACACATACACAACAAACGTGTTCGTGTCAGTAGCTGAGTGTGTGTGTGTGCTTGGATGTCTGCCAGCGAGCTCTCCCACTCTCCTGCTCTCTCTCTCTCTCTCTCTCTCCACACACACACGCCTCTCTTTGGAGGGAAATGCGAGAGCTGCGTTTGCTCCAAGCCAGCGCTAGTCTGTGGGAAATTTTGCTGGCATTAAGTACAAATAACTCGGTGTGTTTGTGTTCAACGATCTTGTTGTAAAATAAAGTGGCTGCAAGCACACCACACACAGGCGTATGTATGTAGCAGCTTAAATTGCATATATTGGGGGCATGTGACTGTGTGTATGTGTGTGTGTGTTTTAGTGTAATTTCCCGCGACGTTCTGACACGGGGAAAATAACCTAAAAGCATTATGCAATGTACATATATTAAAATGTGAGCGTAGGTTGAATGCAGCAGCAAGCAGATCTATGCAATGCCTCTTTTTTGTGCCATTTATGTAACGGTCCGTCGCTCTCTCGCGCTCCCGCCATCGCTCTTACTTCTTCCGCCTGTGCTCAGCTGACATTACTTGTTAGAAAACGGTAAACGGCGGACATCTGCATTTCTGTGCCCCCCTTCCCCCCTCCCCTCCTCGCGCAATGGCAGTGGCAGTGATGTAACGGCATTCTCGCTCCGCTTCTGCTGCGACATGTGAACTGGATTACACAGTGCTAAAAAAAAAGGGAAGCAAGGCAGTCAAATGAAAAACGAAAGGAAAAAGGCAAACCGAGCACGATAAATGGACACACGGCGAGACGAGCGTTTATATATCACAGTGATTGTATGTTTGTGTATTTGTGTGTGTGCAAGAGCAGTGGCGTATGCATAGGAGGCGCATCCTCATTTGAATTTATACACAGAGAGAATTATTTCCAAAATTTATTGTTCTTACTTACAAATTCTCCAGATACTTACAAGGCCT